TCCATTTTGGACAAAAGCGAAACACAGGGTTTATTCAGGTACTGAGAATTAATATTAGCCATCAGCTTTGCGGTTGTTTGTGTTAAATTTTATAATTGTTTCATTGCTTTCTTTAGCTGATAAGGCTTTCAGTTTTCAGATAGGGTGTTTAATCTGGGCCCTTCAATAGGCGCATCCATGTCCATAATGGATATGAATTGAAGATATATATATATATATATATATATAACACTTTGTGTCTTACTGTGCACAAATTTATAATGTTATGTTTATTACCTCATTCATACAAGTTTCTCTTTCCCCTCCTCCCCTCCCTGTCTAAATATAGGCACCAAGAGGACTTTGAATACCAGAGAATCCGAAAACACATGTTCCTCCTTTATGCCTAGAATCTCCATAAAACCCCATCCTCCTACCACCTGAGTTGGTCTTTGGTGGTATATGAGCTATACTCTTCTGCTTACATTTTGTTAAAAAGCTTGCATTTTTGTTGAGTCTATCAGAATAGAAGGGGAGTTCTTCCTGCTTTTTAGCTTTCCGTTCTTCACTGAAATCTATGCTTGATGGTTCACAATGGCTGAAAACTCCATCAACTTCGATTGAGTCCAGTGAAAGGAAACATAAAGAGATGTTCTCTTCAGCTAGCCATTGAATCTTTACTTTGGCAGATTACCAGTTTTTCTTTGACAGTCATTCCTCTGCCTCATGTAATTTGGTTGGTGGCCTTTTGCAGTGCGGACTCCATAGAGCGGGCTTGGCAAATTCTTGATCAAATTCCTGGAAGGGCAACTGGTGCCTACAGTCACAGCCAGGTTGTGATTGGTGCTCACATCTTGGAACTTTGACCATTTATGCTTCCGTATTATTCATACTTTTTCATTTTCTTTCGATGTCAGGGTATCAAGGGATTACGTGATACTATTGCTGCTGGGATTGAGGATCGTGATGGTTTTCCTGCTGATCCAAATGACATTTTCTTGACAGATGGTGCCAGCCCTGCGGCATGTTTCTATCTCAAAACTTCTTGTTTCCATGAATGATAAGTTCCTCATGAACACATGTGTAACAGAATGGATTTTTCCTCCTTATCTCCAGGTGCATATGATGATGCGGTTACTGATCAGATCTGAGAAGGATGGAATTCTCTGTCCCATCCCTCTGTATCCTTTATACTCTGCTTCAATTGCTCTGCATGGTGGAACTTTGGTATGCATATAACATGTTAAAGCATTATTTAGAATTTTAGATATTTGTAAGCTAACTGGCTTCTTTAGCTGTCATTGAAGTACTTAGTTTTTGTTGGTTATTGGCCAAGCTTTAACTGACCAAAATCAAGTTGCCTTATGTTTCTTAAGGATTAGTTTTAAGCTACCTTTCTTGGTATGACTTGTAAAATGGTTGGAAGTACAGATTTCTTTTATCATTCAGTGATGTATTAATTGGCAGATTGTTCACAACTTTCTTTTGGCTTTTGCAGGTTCCATGCTATCTTGATGAAGCTACAGGATGGGGTTTGGAAGTATCTGAGCTTAAGAAACAACTAGAGACTGCGAGGTCCAAGGGCATCACAGTTAGGGCTTTGGTTGTAATAAATCCGGGCAACCCAACAGGACAGGTAATCAATGATAAGCATGCCAAAAGTATATTCTAAATGAAGAAATGTCTTGAATTTTGTTTATACATGATTTTATTTTCTCATTTTGATTGCAGGTTCTTGCTGAGGAAAACCAGAAGGCTATTGTAGAATTCTGCAAGCAAGAAGGACTTGTACTGCTGGCAGATGAGGTAGGCTGATATGTTCTGGCTTTGCCATTCATTGGCAATGAAATTTCTTTCCTTGTATGAGCTCCAAGGGTGAGTCAGCTCCTGCATTAACTTTAATAACCACTTACGTTCTTACAGGTTTACCAGGAAAATGTTTATGTACCTGAAAAGAAATTCCACTCTTTTAAGAAGGTTTCCCGGTCTATGGGTTATGATGAGAAGGATATATCCTTAGTATCTTTTCAGTCAGTCTCAAAAGGTAAAATTGGTTTTGTCTTAGCTCTATTATTGCATTTATAGAATGTGAAAGAACTTATGCAAATTTTGGAAGTTTGATATAAAAACATGCACTCTTTTACTGTCTCCAGGGTATTATGGAGAGTGTGGAAAAAGGGGAGGTTATATGGAGGTTACTGGGTTCAGTGCTGATGTCAGGGAGCAAATATACAAAGTGTCATCTGTGAATCTGTGTTCTAACATCTCTGGTCAAATTCTTGCTAGCCTTGTCATGAGTCCACCTAAGGTTAAATCTTTTTCCATTTAAAATCAGTTTTCTATATTTATTCCAATGACATTGGATCTATGATATAAAGATGAGATGAGATAGAACCAGACAGATTTTGAGCTTTGACTAGCTCCTTGCAAGCATTGATTCTTATAGGAGCATTAAAATCTCTCATCTGTTATGCTTTATTATGGTTGACAATTTGGAAACTGTCTGGTACACAACTTGGTCTAGACCAGTACTGTTCTGGGATAATGGAATAAAACATTATGCTTACATAGGTGGCTTGTAAAAGCTTATCATTGGTTAAATTATATCATGCATGCCTTATATATGATGTGATATTTGTTACAAATGAAACTTGCAGGTTGGAGATGAATCCTATAAATCACACAATGCTGAAAGAGATGGAATCCTCTCATCTTTAGCAAGTCGTGCAAAGGTTAGTCCTCTCTTAGATTGGATTAGTTTACATAATATTAAATAGGGGGCATTAATGTTTAGTTGTAGCAAAAGTGAGTGCTAAATTCCACACTTACCAAGAAATTTGGAAATGTGCAGTTTTGCCAGTGTAGGAGAGTTTGAGCTTATTTAAATTATATAACTAACAAAATTCTATTAATTGAGACTCAAATGAAATCTTTATTGGCATTTTTTATTCAATTCCCCTTTTTACTGGTTTTATAATTACACTTGATCATTTTAGCATGATAATGTTTTTATTACTAATATAGACACTAGAAGATGCATTCAACGAGTTGGAAGGTGTGACATGCAATAAGGCAGAAGGTGCAATGTATCTTTTTCCCCGAATTTGTCTGACTGAAAAGGCAATTAAAGCTGCTGAAGCTACAAAAACAGCACCAGATGCATTCTACTGTCGTCGTCTCCTCACTGCTACTGGAATTGTTTTCGTTCCTGGTTCTGGTTTTGGGCAGGTGAGTTAATTACTGCCATTATGATGGATTTATTTGGTTTGGAATTTTCCTTTTAATTTCAGTCGTTCCACTTTCAGAAATTAGAAATAGAATGTTTGAAATTCAACAAAACTAAAGATTAACAGAAATTGGTGACAATTTGATTGGATCAACTTAAATATTTCGGTTCATCAAGGATATGGTTTCTGATGTCAATTGATTTGTCTTTTCTTTATCTTTGCCTATAATTGATGTGTGGTTTTTGTTACAGGTTCCTGGTACATGGCATTTTAGGTGCACAATACTCCCTCAAGAAGAAAAGATTCCGGCCATTATCACCCGTCTAACTGATTTTCATAAAAGTTTCTTGAATGAATTCTGTGACTGATTTTAATATAGGCGTTCCCTATTTTCCCGCTGTTTTTTTAATTTAATGGAAATATACAATAATATTTTTGGCTTGTCCACCGAGTTTTTGCAGATATAATCTGTCATCATTTATAAGGATAATCACTCCCTTTAACTGATATTAGTTGAGATTATTGTTTTGGTTTTTAAAAATTTAAATGAGAGGATATTATCTCATTTTAGTACTAGTATATATCGTTGATTTCAGTAAAAATTTATATTAAATTTATAAATCACTTATCAAAAAATAAATTATTCTTTGATAAATTATTTATAACAAGAATCAAATTTAAATTTTATAAACGAAATATTTAATTTTTATCTTAATGTGCATGAGTAACTTGTTGGTTTACTAATTCATGATCTCATGAGACACTAAAGAACCAAGTGCATGGCTCTTATATAAATACATTCTAAAAGATTTCAAAACCTCTAGACATTCTAGAGGATTTCAATACTCTCGGACATAAAGAGTCAAGTGTGTGACTCTTATACACATTCTAAAAGATTTCAAGGTTTTCATACATATAAAAGATCAGCTATGACTTTAAAAAAAAAAAAAAACAATTGGTTCTAGACACTGTGACACATCGGGTATGAAAGGATTTAGGTTTTCTCGCAGAGTACTCGCGCCTGGTGCCTCCAAAACAGTTTCTCTCTTAAGTGCTACAATACCCACACCTGTTCTCGCGTTTGACTCTTCTAGAATGTCTTTTAAAATGTTCTACATATCCACGGCCTGCCTGACTCGATGCATATCTAAAGCCTAGGGCTTTCTAGAAGCTTCTACTGTTAAGTTGGAATCATTTGTTGCCATACAAATCATTAGTTGGCATACGAAGATTAATGCCAAAATATGATACTTGAGTATTAATCCCAAAAGGTGATGTTTTAGCTGTTTTAATTGCAAGAGCATGAAGCACCACAAATTTCTTATCATGTGCTCTTTGGAGTTGGGATTATCGCGGATAAAAAGCTAGTGTCTAGGATCATACTGGTCTCTGAATATTACATAAATGGAATGACTTCAAGAAGGAATATAAAAAGAATAATTTGGCCTTTCAAACAAAGGGATCAAAATCAGACTTTAACGGCAAAAAAAATAGTTAAAAGCTTTAGATCCTCAGAAGGAAGCCAATAGTAGATTACAAATTTGCAATTGATTCAGTTCAGATATGTGCTTATTCAGTATGCAACACAATTTGAGTAAGTTGAATAGCAGGCAAACAAATTCATAATTTGAATAACGTAGGACACATCACTTATTCCGTAAACATCCGTCACTCTAAAACAAATAAAAAAACTTGAACCAATTCGGGGAAATCATTGAATTTGACAAGGCAAAATATGAGTTCAGAAAAGTAATCTGGTTAACCACGTGCTAGAATTTGACAAAGCAAATTAAATCCAATTAAAAGGTTTTTTTTTCTGATTATGTGTAATCAAATTATCCAAATGAAAAGTAGATGAGTTTAGTGGCACACCAAAAATAAGGTTTCACAGCTTGAATCCCCAGAAACAAATACAAGTCTCTCCCTCAACACATGCATCGTTATGACAGGAAAGACAGTTGTTGCATGAAAAGATTGTTTACAACTTGTTTACAACAAAGCATTCTCATAGGCGAGTAACGACGGCTTCCACCTCTGAAGGAGTGTATAGATGGTATGTTGGTGCTACCTTGGCAATATCAACATTGTTGGGAGTCACCTGTAATAGCAACATTGTTCAATAACAGAAATTTCAGTAAAAATAAACAAATACATAGCGTGCAATCACAAAATTGCATATATTTGATGTAAAACTTTACCTTTTCTTCCATTACTTGCTTTAAAATGGAGAGAGCAATTGTTTCGGCCTCTTGAAGAGTTAGGTCCTGCATGGGAAATAAACCGTCATTAATGTTAATCAGCACCAAATAACTCATGCATATGCGAGAGAGTCAAAACTATGGAACATATTATCACAACAAGGCTGTGTTAATTTTAGTTATTTAGACATTGCTGAAGTGGATATCATAAAACTTAATAACAAGTTGAATCCTAAAACAATCAAGTTACCAAATTAAGCACTCTCAAGGACAAAAAACAACATAAGAACAGAAGTGAAGATACCTTGTTGTATTGCTCTTGCAAAGAGCTGTCTGCACCTTCAGAACCTGAACCTATAGCTTTTGCATTGCATTGCCAAAATGTGCCAGAGGGATCAGTATAGTATCTGCAGAAGAGAAGTTGCAAAGCCACTGAGAATGAACTTAAATCAAAGTTGATTAAGTGAATGAAGTCTTGATGCATGACCGTGCAACCTTGCATTAAAGGTTGGGGCATGGTAGCTTTATCATGTACATGATGCATTAGCTCTTTTAGCTTGTTACAATTTAACTTAAAATTTTACAATCTAAAACTAGCAGGCAGTAAGAAGCATGTACCTTATAATTATATCTCTAATGAATTATCAGTCGCAAATGAATATGTTTAGAAACCAGCCTACCAGACCATGGTGACTGTTTTAATTGTGGTGACAGTAATTTTTAAAGGGCAGCATTCTTCAGAGAATGGCATTTGCATGACTAAGTTTTGACTAATCACAATAGTGATAATATTATTTTCTAGTGACATGATTAAGAGAAATGTCGGTCCTAAAGTGCTAGTAATACAACAAAAATTCATTCATCTTTCTCATATGTTGAAAGAAATTTTACCACAGCAAAACCAACACAATGTAAAATTATCTGATACTTACAAGCTAGGCCCATTCTCATCATGACCAGCAATGAGAAGAGACACCCCAAATGGTCGGGACTGCACAAAAAAATGTTAGTATACCTGAATAAGCACTTCAAAAGTAATGCCATAGGCGGAATTCTGTATCAGATGGAAAAAGAAACTGAATGCATGACTACACAAGTCATATTAGGTGTGGCCCTCTCTTTATTGCTTACCAATATGAGCAAAAAGCAACACAACATAGACAAAGAAATTAAAATGGCTACAACTATATACATAAAAAGATATGCAGTTGTACCATGGATTCTTCATCTCCTTCCCCAAATCGAAGGGCCAGATCACAAAGAGCTTGTGTTGTGGACTCTACAGTCATTGGCTCACCATATGAGAATCTATGGTTCTGTGTGAATGTAAAATATATCAGCAAAAAAAGTAAAAATAAATTCATATCAAAAAGTAATGGCACTAACAACTATGGTACCTGAGTCTCAACTCGTGCATGTTCAACAAGCGTACGTGCATCAGCAATCAACCCACTCATAGCACATCCTATATGCTCATCAATTTCCATAATCTTCTCAACACTGCTGGGTTCCTGAAAGAGAATCAAGTACCTATGAGGCCTGGAAGAAGTTGCAACAATCCACATTCCACTATATCTAATATATGTGACACATGCTACATGCTGGACTTCTGGTAGCTTTTTAACAACATGAGTGTGGTTTCAAGTGTACAAGCATTTAGTCAAAGTAAACAAGGGGCATCTAAAGGAATTTTAGGGAGTATGGAGTAGCATATTGAGAAAAATAAGGCAGTAGCTAGTCGAATAGAATACCTGACATGTCTTAAGCCATTACATTACACTACATGGAGCCGACATACTGCCTAACACATTATGGAATCCAACAATAAATTGAGAATATGGAAGGAATAAGCAATTGCAAAGTCTGCTACTCGCAACCTGATCTTCAAGTCTAGAGTCTTGACCATCAACCAATATTCACATGTTTGTAACTGAAGACTTAGTAATTTGTCAAAAGAGACTCCTTAAGACCCTAACAGCAAACCATTACTTCCCTTAATCTTCATGGAACTCCGCATCTTAAAAAACACATTCTTTTTTATTACATTTTAGCAAAGAAGCCAAAATAAAGCAAAGAAAAAAAAGCCAAAAAAAGCCTTTGTTCTTTTATTATAAACAAGCAAAGGCTAACTACACAAGTAACTAGCAGAAATAGTTTGCAAATATAATAACATTAAATCGAGTAAGAGTGCAAACTGCAGACCAACAGTGGTGAAGTAATACGCTTCTCGACAGCCAGAACGACACCATCTTTTGTCTTTAACCCAATTGCAGTTGAACCCAACTGAAGTTCAATTAAAAAAAAAAAAAAAACCATTTACGTTAAAACAAAAACAAAGAAATTTCAGTTGTAAGTTAAACTACATGGTTTAAATATACTAATGAAAAAAAAAATCCCGAGAGTACTTTAAAGAGTTGGATGATTTTCCGAAGAAACAAACAGAAAATGATCCTTTTTTTTACCTTGATGGCCTCAATAGCATATTCCACCTGGAACAATCTTCCCTCCGGAGAAAATGTGTTGACCCCACGATCATACTCAGTCCTTCACAGACCAATCACCAAACATTAAAAATATACATATTATGAAAATTTAGCAGTAACAAATATGCTTACCTGGTGAGAAACATGATGGATCGATTAGATTTAGATTGAACAAAACCTAAAGAAAAAACCCACAAATTTTAGAATATTTTTTAAATAGAAAATTAACTTGAAAAAGGAAAAAAAAAAAAAAGAGAGAGATGATTTACTCCTGAACGAGTATCAGACGGAGCGAGAGATCTTCGTGCTTTTGTGAATCTTCTTGCAAAACAAGCAATGCTATAAAACGGCTCAGTTTCAGATCGCGCTTAAGGAATATCGATGCTATATTGGGCTGGGCTGCATGTAATTTTTTAATCTTAATGTCCGGTTTGGTCCAAGTGAGTTGAGTTGAGAAGATATCTGTCCAAATGTTAATTGGCCACGTTTTTGTCTAAAACAGCTTTTTCTTATTGCAAAGAACAGCTTATAGCCCAATAATTTAGGGCTTATTGTCATATAAGAGTCCAATTATAATATGGAAGAAGTCATCTTAAACAAATACGATTGCAAATTAAAAAAAGGTTACAACTTGTTTTCACATTGGATCCATTGCAGCAAACCCTACACCTTGGAACGGAAAGGAGTAAGGACCCTTCCTGTTAGCTACTCTCTAGAACCTAGCTAGCCCTGTCTGCGCTTCTGTTTCTTCCACAACTACTTTTTTTTTTCCTCCTGCTTTTGGTTTTGTGTGCTTTTCTGGTTGTTTGCTTTTGTTTTTCTTTCCTCATTTGTTACCATTTTAACTTTTTTGATCCGCAAAAAATGCGCTCAAAGACATTTTCAATATCTTTTCCTGAGATACTATGGCAGTCAAGAAATTGAAAAGATAAAAGCTGATGAAATGATGAATCAGAAATCAACAAGACATAAGCTACTAGCCTATTAGTGCGAATCGTATATCAAAGCTCTAGTCTTCTTGCATGCGGGAAATACATGGATGTTGTTGCCTTCGTCGGTATCTTTGGATTTTTTTTTCTTTTTTTTTTTTAATTTGAGTGGAAAATATGTCTTCTGATGATATACGCAGCTTTTGTCTCCTGGTGTGTGGAAAACCAGATTTTGGGGTATGACCACTTGTCAACAAAGGGGAATATTGTCCAATGATTGGTCCTGGATTATGAAACAGGGCAGGACTCTTTGATTTGAGGGAAGCATTGTCAATTAAACAACTCGTTAATTCATCAAAATTCATGTTGCAAATGCAACATAAGTAAAAACCATTTGTTGATATTTCATTTCTGAAATAGTGATTAGTCCTTTTTCATTGTCCTCGCTGGTATTGTTCATATTATACACAATTGTACTGGATTATGAAAAGACCGGCTGTCGTTCTTCATGGCATGCTTCCGCAATTATAAGTCAATCATTTTCTTCAATCACGCTATCTCCCGTGAGAAAACGAACAAAGATGTCACCTCCAATCTTGATTGAAATATTGGCAGTCATATATAGAGGCAAATGAGTGGCACCATTCACCAATCGCCATGTTATTGGCACATCATTACAATGGTCAAGGCAATATCTGTACCACTTTGTATCAGAAATGGTGAAATTTTTATAGAAGATGATCCCATTTTTTATGGTCCTGTCAATAGTTGCTACTATTATTGATGCGATTTTTCTACATAAAAGCTCTGCAAGAATAAGGTTTTGAGGATTTCATTAGAATTTAGAGAGATACACAATGAAGATTAATGGAGATGATCTTTCTTTTGAAAATCTTCATTAGTGACTGTTATTTCAGGGGAAGCAACCACATGAGCTGTGGCCAGAAATATGCGAGTTATTTCGTTTAATTATCTTCTGCCCCTGCTCGGTTGCCCTTTGCATTTGCTCACCATGTTGTCGCTGGGCTGCTGCTCTCCATTCCTCTGCTTTTCTATGGACAACTGCCATTCTCTTCATTAATTTCTCCTCTAGGTTGGATCTCATCTTTTGTATTTTCACCTGAAAAGTTCAGTTCAGAACATAATATACCAAATATAATGTCCGTCCAGTGAGGGATTATTCGCACATAATAAAATAAATAAAATCAAAAGCTTGCAGGCTAGACAACTTCACCATGTTAGTTATTCCTTCTTTTTTTTTTTTCTGAATAATCCTCATTGGTAGGAGACACCCCGATTTGACCGGAGAAGTTTTTAAGGTCTAAACTAATCAGATTCTTAGCAGTCATTTTAGACTACATTTTATCTCTTGCACTTTGTAGGTGGAGTACAGGAGGAGAAACGAGGAGTGTAACCTTTATTAATTACTCTAGAGCTTATTTTATTCAACAATGGCTAAAAACCAAGCTTCCAAGTAGGAGCCAACCCACTTGAAGCAAATATTCCAATTCACCACGAATTTCTAAATGCCAGATCTTCACATGGACTTACAAGTTACAAGCATGAACCACCACTGTAGCAATATAAAAAAATAGGGACTTGATGACTTTTAGCTTTCTTTTTATATATTCAAGACAGAAGCATGCAGATAAAAGCATATTGAATTGAGGGAAGACACTCCATTAAAGGTGGACTAGTCAAGAAAGCTAGAAATGAAAAAGTCCTAGAGTTAGGGGTGGCTCAAAATTGCAGATAGAATTGAAAATTGCCGCAAAAGAAATTCGGGCTCATAGACAACCATTGAACCAATTTCATGAGATATAGTGCAACAAGTGCTAGAATAGGAACCGGCAAAGTACCTCAAGCTTTCTTGATTGAGCTTCTGCTTTGGCACTTTGAAGGTTCACCCAAGCTTCAATTTTTGCTTCCTCTCTCTGATACCTGTGACCCAAATAATAATCATTACTGCTATGCTACATAAAACAAACAATGATAACAAATATTTTACCTCAATTACCTCAGGCAGCATTTTGTCCTTTCCTCTTCCTCCCATGCAGCAGCTCTTGAATCTGAAACACTTTTCCTGCATGCACTGCCGGTTTCGAAATGTCTAAGGCTCTTGGATACTTCTTCGTCCTCCTCTTCCCTTGAGCTCCAATTGGATGTGATGGAGTCATACTGCGTCCCGAGTTGTAGCTTAGCTAGATGACACTCTTGCAGCTGGGAAATGTCAATTGTGCTATTAGAACTATTGGAATTGGCGGATGCCAATGGACCTGACCTATTAGCTGGTGTGTTATGCCGTGCAGGTGATGAGCTCTTGAATGGTGTATGGCATCTAGAAGTTGTTGAACTTCCTAGTGGAGTCATCTCTGTCCCAACATCTTTATGATTAACCTCATGGAATACTTCAGTGCCTGCATCTTTCATGGTTTCACAGACTGAGTTTCTGAAAAGAAATCCTTCTCTTGAGGGCTCCGAGTATCTGAAATTTGGTAAAATTGGTTCTACCTCATCCGTGAACTTATCTACATTGAACCAAAATTATACCAACTCCCTCCAATTAGTATAATTATGAATAAAACAGTGATGATATAAAACATAAGCTTTCAAGAAACTCTTTTACACTTGGCATTGGATAGATTGTTATGATCACAAAGGATAAGTTTATTCGTGAAGAAAAAATTGCTCTGTCTGGCTGTAGTGGAACACTTTAAGTACTACTAAGCTTTTAAAAGGTAAAAAGGGTAAAGAAAAAGACTATTATAATGACAAAATTTTGGTTAAAGTTGAAATATAGTTAGATCCTACCTTTTAGAAGGACATCTGTGGTGCCTTGTATTCCATTAAAACCTCTGGTTGGATTATGGTGTTCCAAAGAAACTGACCCTTTAAAGTTTGTGACCACCTTTGTAACTTTTTCTTCAGTGACCCTTGATTTCTCAGCAAATACCTCAGTTTGTTGCTTAAAGTTATCACATTGTTTACTCATCTTTGATGACTCAGATGGTGGGTTTAGGGTGTGAGCGGGAGACTCATGGCAGGAGCTGTTGATTAACCATTTCTCTGCATCATCCCACTTTGAAGGAAAGCTCTTCCTAGCAAGATTGCCACCACTGAAGCTGAAAACAGGCCTACCTGGTGTAGAAGGAGCTTCCAAAACTCTCCTTTGTGTTGTGACAGAGTTCACTCCTTCTCTCCTCTGAATTGACACATCCAAAAACCCTCCTCCTCCGTTATATGTTTTGTTGTTTGAAGCTGCCATTGGAAATGCCTTGACAAACTCAGATGTCTCCTTGAGATTGAGCTTGCAAAGTGGGTCAGGGAAAGTGTCTGCAAATGGGTTGTCGTTGCTTTGCCCATAAAGGATTGCATTAGTTTCCAGCGGTGGTTCCTGAATACATGAAAGCAAATGCTATGACATAAAATACAAACAATAAAGACAAGAATACAACAAATGTGGATCTTCAAGCTCATTACCCCATTAGATGGAAATAAAAGTGGAGCTTGAAAGTATTTGGTACTTGCTAGATCCATGTTTTGTTGAAGATAACTGATTTTGTGCTTTAGCCAGAAGAATTGGATGCGCAGCAGTTTTCTTTTCTTTTTGGTAACTTTGGTCAAGCGGGTTTGCCCAGATGCATCATTTTTTATATACTACTACAAACTATGCAATGAGAAAGCGATTGGAGAGGGAGTTTAACAGAGTTGGCTAAACAAGGGAAAAGTTTTGACTACTAGAAACTGTTGACCATTATTCTGTTCATAACCCACATGGGATAACCACTTAACGAAGCTTTGATCTCTGTCTGAATGCTCTCCCTTTCAAAATGAAACAACAGTGACACATTGTCCTAGTCTCACAGAATTAGACAAGCTAGGAGACGAAATAGCACATCAAAAGAAGAGGCACTTTGGGAGGTGAACATAATTTAATACTACAAAGGAAGAACGCAAAAAATAAAAAAATAAATAAAAGAACCCTTGACTCTTGAGTCTTGAGTCATCGGTTCTGAGCTGCACTCCTGCGGTCCTGCCTTCAAAGCAAATAAATGGCAAGATGAAGGAAATTTTATTCTGTTTATTCTTTATAGGAAGCTTCTTATAGGATTTTATCTCTAGTTTAGAGTAAGCATTCCATGGTTCATACTTCATAGGCTCATAAGCTGTTGCATTGCAGGTAAGCACTAGTTACAAAACGATTTCTTTTCTTTTTCCCTGAAGCACTTTCCATTGATCTCTTTAGTTTTAGCCTTTTCGGAGAATTTCTTCAGAAACAAAATTGATTCTTTGAAGTTTGGACAAATTTCAGTTCAAATAAATATACTACATGAATAACTATAATGACTGCTCTTTCAAAATTCAGAAAAGCATAATGAATCATGTCAGTTAACATATACTATAATTGAATACAACACAGGCTTTAGTACTCTGGTTCATAAAGTATATATCTACGGTTGTTGAAGCTATAGATCATTTATGGCTAATAGAGACACTCAATGCCACTGCTTGAAATTGATTTGGTTTAAGTTACACAAACCACAAACCAATTTGATCTGAAATTCCAACTCGATTTAATGTCATTTAAATCAATGGAATAGAAGAAGTAAAGGATGATAATGCAGTTTGATGGTGTTTTGTTTTCTTTATTATCTTTGAGATTTTATTTTCAGGTTTCAACATATAGTTGAAGCACTTGAAGAAACAGGAAGCTATTTTTCTAATATAACCAACCTAGTGAATAAACACAAAGATAACAACTGAATATATGAAAGGTAAAAAAAAATTATATTTTTTATCTTTTGGGCTATAATTGAAATATGAATTCGAGATTTTCAACTTTGAAATGGATTCTAACATCACTTAATTAATACCTCATTTAAAAAAAAAAAACCTCAATAAACCTTTACTTTAAAAGGAAAAAAAAAAGGAGGGAGAAGAATTAAAAATATAATGTGCATTTCTAGAATATATGAAGTTAGAATGTCCAGCCTTTGATTGAAAATAGGAATGTTAGAATACAAGAATTGTAGAGTATTTTTTATCTTTATTTTTGAAATTTTGTATTATATTTATTTTCGTAATTATATCTAATAGATATTTTAAATTTATTTTTATTTTCATGAATAGTTAAGAGATATAGATAATTCTCATACTTATAATTTTAAAAAAAAAATAAAAATTTATTTTTAAACTTTTTTATTTTTATAATGTATATTTAAATAATTTTTTATAAATATATATATTAATATTTTTTCAATAAAAATATATTAATTTTAATTAATTTACAATAATAATTCATATTATTTGATAAAAATTTTATTTATTAAATATTTATAAATATATATATACAAAATACATATACAAAAAGAATATTATATTATTTATTTTTATATTGTATCTAATAAAATGATACCATTTCTATTCCCATCTCAACACCACATCCCTATCTCCAGAATAAAAAATCAAATTTTATTATTAAGTAGGATCTCTAATTGAAAAGGTCTTAAAAAGGAAAGGCTCAGACATGAGGTAAGGTGTAGGATATAGACCAGGACCCACCAGCTAGCTGAACTATGGGTTCCTAAAACAGTTGAACTTGAACCGGCTTTTCAAATTTTGATGTATGTTTCAGTCCAATATTCTTACGCAGAGCGTCTTTCCAAAATCCGTGCTCCTTGCCCCTTGTTGCTGATTTTAAATACAATTATTTAGGCTTTGATAAAGTGATTACTCTTGAAAAAAAATCACTAAGTGTAGAATATTAAAATTTTAATTGTAATAATCAAAATCAATTCCTAATAATAATAATAAAAAAAAAAGAAAACTCTATATTCCACGAAGCCGTGGATATTGAGGTTAAAAATTGTAAGATTATTTTGCTCATTTTATCTTAAAAACTCAAATGACTATCTCAGACAAAATTCTTTTTTGTCAGCATGAAGCAAAATCATGCATTTTTTTTTTTTATAAAGGTTTTCATTCTTTATCAAAATTTATTAAACACTTGAAGAGAAAATTAAGTTGAGGTAAAGTCTTGGGAAACTCTAATTGTATAATCAACAAAAGATTATTTGATTACATTTTGTTGGGTTTGTCACAAAATAGAGAAGCAGATAGAAGTTGGGTTCTAATTTCTTTGTTGCCCCTATACAACTTGCATGCAAAATGGATGTGAAGAGAATAATTTAAGTGCTTTCAATCACACAAAATGGTTTGATGAGTGAGTGTGTGTGTGTGTGTGTATATATATATATATATATATATATAATATATATATTTGCTTCTGTCACTGAAAATTAGAGTTTTTGAATTCATAGTTGTTCATTGAATACCTCAATAAAACATAAAAAAGAAAAGGGAGAATACGGAAATTGAATCCAAGTCTTTGGATGCTAGTTTTTTTAATTTTGACTCTTAATAGAAAGAAAGTAAAGAGCAATTATGCAGAAGGTAAACAGTTGAGGTTGATTGATGGGAAAACTTTTACAAAAATAGGTAGAGACAGTGTTGCAAATTGAAAAAGTATAGTTGCTGTGCAGCTGATAGCAGAAATTTCCTGTGATCAGAAATAAAAATCTCCACAGGGAGTAGATAGCATCACTTACAAGCTCAATTATTTTACAGACATAGGAAAAGCTGAAACCCTTATTATTGGAGTTTAATGGGCATAAAAAGTACTATAAACTGAAGGCATATTTTTTCAATGAGAGGTGAATAAGAATATATGATCAGAATTTGAGTCCCTTTTCTAAAAGATGTGACAATTCCTTCCAAGTCACATGTAGGTAAATGTTATGTAAACCTCAAAAATCAGTTCAGTTTGTTTCTAAAATCATGCTCCATTTTTTTTTTACCTAAAAACTTATAATTTCTTGTATACAGACATGGAAACAAAGGGAATTAATTCTGTGAAAATGCGAGTCGACTCACCAACAAATTCTTTCTTCTTCATATTCCAATGACAACTTCTAATCCACTTATAAAACATGCCAACAAGATTGTGATGCTTAAAGAAAACCAAGTTCCTGGAAAGAAAGCATCTACCCTTCGGATCAGATACTTGATCTCCAAGAACAAGGTCAATAACTTTTTCTCTTCTTGTTAATATTCCGAGACATACTAACTAGCAACCCTGGTCTTTCATGTTTCTTGTTATTGAAGCTAACGAAATCTTTGCAACTGAACACTACCCGGTGTGACTATATTAGATTGTCTAACCAACATGAATAGTTGAATGCCTGCTTCATCTTTTTAACTGGTTTTCGAGAGATGAAAATGGAGAAATAGTTCGTGAAGGGTACTATGAGGGCTCTCGTTTTCCTCAACAGGTTCCTAGAACATTGTTTCATTCGAGGTAAGAACCCTGTCCTAGGTTCCATGTTATGCCATATTCAAATTATGTGACCTGCACTCTAAAATGAAATTTTTGCCAATGTTGACTGATGCAGAGATGCTGAGATCCTTGATCTTCTCAAGATATGGCTTCAAATTATTAATGGTGGCTGATTCAGCAATGCTAATAAAGGTGTTAGTGACCATTTTGCAAGATGACTCCAAGTGGAATGATTTTAACAAATTCCACCACAGATTTCATGAAATAATTGTTTTTACAATAAAGACACTCCAATTATTAGAGATTGTATATAAACAGCAGAAAACGTCTTTCTCTTTGTAATCACTTTGTTTTTTGCAATATGGATGATCAAAGCTCACAGCCCCCTCATCTTTCTTGTTATTTTTCAGTTGATTACATGCTAACAGCAGTCTTGCTTGATTCTTGTATCCTAAAAATTGACTATCTGGACTCTGAAACTGTCGATTGATTTTTTTGGCAGTTGCTGACCAAATTGTACATGAAAAAATATTCAGCAAAAGGTGAATGCTGGAAATACTTAATAGCAATTCCTTACCAACCATCAGCATAGACTTTTGTAAATGAAAACCAGAACAATTAACAACGAAAAGGCAGCATACACACAGAAAGAAAGAATATATGAAGACTTTGGAAATTCACAGGAGAGTCTAATTCACACTGTACATGAAAAAAGGTTGAAATATAATACATGTACATGATGGAATGCTAAATACAAGAATAAATATTTTGTACAAAAATTTCATGCAGAGGTCAAAATATGTTGGACCTCTGACAGAAATTCCCATGGCTTTAAACAGCCTTGTTTCGCATCTCCTAACAAAAAACTATGAATTTATCTTTTGATGAAAAAGAAAAATTGCCCTCCAAAAGAAATGAAAAATCAGAATGGGAGAGTTAACTCCCAAATTACATTTCTGAATATACAACCAGAGACACTTAGAATCACTTGACTGTGGTACCGCCTTGTCCATTCTCTTCACCTATCTCTGACTGAGATTTGCTTGGAATGGTAGGAGGAGACCACTGATCTGGGATCATTAGAAAATAAGTTGTCATTGCTTTCCTGAACCTTTTCTTGTATTGTTTGGGTGAAATTACAGTTGGTGATGCATTCTTTGGCCCACCAAGGATGCCTGAAGCTTTAACCCAAGTTTCAAGA